GCACAGTATGCACTGTGAGCCCGACACAGAAGCTAGCAGCAGTGGCAGACAACTGACTGCTATTCAATCTATAACAGTGAAAAAAGTTTTTTGTTTTTAAATCCAAGCTATTGTGACACCAGATGTAATTGGTGGCACTGACTGGGGAAATGGGCACTGTAAGCCTGACACAGAAGCTGGCAGCAGTGGCAGACAACTAAGTGCATTTACATTAGATAGAAAAAAAAAATCCCAAAAAAGCATACCCTTATCCCTAACCTAGCTATGCTTTTCCCTATCTTATGAACAGCAGCTACTCTTTCCCTCCTCTTACTAAGCATGCAGCTTGAGAATGAATCTAAAATGGATGCTGTCCAGTAGGTGGGAGGGTCTGCTAGGGAGGCCAGCTAAATTGGCTTGAATGGTTCGCTGACTGTGAGGTACAGGTCAAAGTTTACTCAATGATGACAATAGGGAAGCTGGTCGAATCACAAGATATGTTCGCACGCCGTGGCGAACGCGAACATGCTATGTTCGCCAGGAACCGTTCGCCAGCGAACCGTTCGGTACATCACTAATGCACACTTGCACACTATTAGGGACAAGGCAAACAAGGTGCTATAAGCCACTCTGGACAAGGTGCTATAAGCCACTCTGGGAAATATTTTTATTTATTCATATTTTACTAGATGCCTACAAAATAAGATATAGGAACTTCTCATTCTCCTTAATTCCTTTCTTATAAAAATAGTACATTTCAAAGAGTATGACAGTGAACACCAGGAACATACACATTGTTTATTTTGCAGTTGTTTCCCTCCTAGGATACATGCTATTAAAACTCCACATCTTTAATAAAATGTACTACTGCTGATAAATCTGGAAAATGCTAGATTTTTGTTTTTTATCTGTTTTTATATGTGGGATCCAATGCTGCCAATGAGAGGGATCAGAGAGACACGTGGCGACCTTTTCATTTGCAATGCTTAATGCTTCAACATAATGAATAAAGACTCCAGATTCAATGTCACAAACATATCACATACATAAACAAATTAGCTCGGCCAACAGGCATTGTATCAGAGGAATTGTGTTCATAAAGATACAAGGAGAGAAAGTTCAGTATCAGAAGAGATTCCTTTAATTCTAAACTGCAATTCGTGGTCGATAAGATGATCGGTCAAAATTTTGATTTCCGTACCACAACATACAAGAATCTTGGAATATACAACTTGCACCATGCAAGGACATGCTAGTTTTGAATCATGATACCGAGTGCCATTCTTGACACCTGTAAAAAAAAAGTGGATGGAATGAGTCTGTTGTGTTTTTTTTGTTGTTTCAAATAGGCAGCTTTGTTTGCCATGGTAGACAAGTGGTTGCCCAATCAAGTGGGCTGTCCAATTAAAAGTTGGAAAACAAAAGAGGATTGATGGTTAGGGGAAAGCCAGCAAATTTTGATTGTATTCATAGATCGGGAAAAAACTGACCAATGGAGAAAATGGAGGAGCAGTAAAACTATATATACTTCCAAGCACATTTCTTCCAGACACTTTGAGTGCAGCTATCTGGATAGATAGAGCAGAAGTGATATTGTGTGTTTTACCCTTGCTGTGCCAATGTGACCAACTTATCAAGCTTGCCAGTTACACTTCAAACAACATTACCATTATGCCATTGATCCTAATGTTTTAAGGTACTGTTATATCTACCTAAATAGCAATATAGCTACTGCCTGTCAGTGGTTCATAAAACAATTTTGAGAATGAAATGGAAGATTGCCATTATGTCATTAAATGTAACATGAGACTAAGTTTAATGTGATAGATTTAAGGTTTCAGGGAGCAGTATAGCTAATGTCTGTTGGAGGCATTTAAAACACATTTGAGTAGGTGATAGCAGATTGCCATTGATCCAGTTTACAATTTTTAAATGTTTCTTTCACTGTTATGTGCTTGTAGAAAGTTAATTGTGCAAAGAAAAACCTACATCAAAATAGTGGTTATTATTATTATTATTATTACTGCCATTTTTATACCGCCAACAGATTCTGTAGCGCTTTACAATATTATAAGAAGGGGGATTTAGCTATAAATAGGACAATTACAAGAAAACTTACAGGAATGATAGGTTGAAGAGGACCCTGCTCAAATGAGCTTACAGTCTATAGGAGGTGGGCAGGATCAACTTAACTTTCCTAAACAGCTTCCCACGATCACCTCCCTGTAAAGTGATCTTGATATAGTGATTCGATAATGCGAAAAATAATGAGATACAACTGAATAAAGTATATAAAGTAAACAAAACATAATATGATAATGTGCAAATTGGTAACTGCTTTGATTGCACTCACAGACTTCTCACACTCACAGACTTCAGTAAAATTTCAGGCACTTCACAAAATGTCCAGTAGGTCGCATTCAGGATCAGGATCTCCTATGGATGCTTCTTTTTACAAACAGGAATCAGGATCCAGGTAGGTTGGAAATATTGGTGTGGCAGATTCCCCTACCACTGGATTATATATTGTTAATTTTTATTTATTTGATCCACTGTATAGTTCGGTATACAAACTCACCAAACACTTTCGTACACCGAACCAACTACCGAACAGCCAGACCACCCAGGGCAGGCGTGTGCTGCTCAGCAATGTTTGGTCGTCATGTGCATAGAACTCAAGTCAGGCACTCGACGGC